TTGCAGTCAGTTAACTCCTGCCTCAGGAAGATGTACTCTTGATGATGCCATACACTGACACAAATGTAACATTCTTCTGTAGAGTTCAAGTCATGATGACCACACCCAAGCCAAGCTGGAGGAGGAGGTGGTTCGCCTCCAGGGCGACCTGGACCGACTGCAGGGCACTAACCAAGATCTGTATCAGTATGCTGTACATAATATACTCAATACTAAATAAACTGTATCTTCAACAACCTGCTGGGTTTGTCAATAAACACTGTATTCCTAAACACTGTAATCCAGTTCACAGCATGGGATTCCAGGTTAGACTAGGTCCCCAGTAGCCTATGCTGGGCCCAGTTCCACAAAGTGATCTGAGTGGTAAGATGATCGTAACTCTCATACTTTAACATAGACAATCATAGCGCTAAGATCACTTCGTGGAATGGAGCCCAGGTTGTAATTGGGTTCCTCATGTATTAGGTGGTCAGGCTCGGTGACTTAATTGACAGCTTGTCGCTATACACCGATGGCAGTATGACCTGTGAAGATCCAGGGTAAAATAGATCTTCAGCAACCCATGCTTGCTGTAACAGGCGACTATGCATGTTGTAAGAGGCTACTAATGGAATCTGGTGGTCAGGCTCGCTGACTTGGTTGATGCATGTCATTGGATCCCAATTACGTGGATCGATGCTCACAATATCAATCACTAGATTGTCTTGACCAGACTTGAATATTTACTGGCCGCCATGATATAACTGGAAAAAAGAATACTGCTGAGTGAAGAGTTAAATAACCAATAAAGTATGCCAGTTCAGGTACAGTTTTGCAACTGAGACAAACACATTGTGATTTCTCTGCCAATTGTGTGTAACATAACATAACAGGTGACTTATAGTGATTTCCAAAGCAAGAACAATACAAGCAAACAGTAACAGACTTCAACATTTATGTTATCACTTTATTAAATAACAAGGTCAACCAGTTTGATGAACACGAAGCACTATAAACACCCCAAGTTGATTCTGGTATAAAAGCCATTTGTTCAGAGGAATATTTACATGGATCCAGTCTGACCCCAACAAGAAATCTGTAACGAGTCGTACGAGTCATTGTTCCAATACAGTGGCATAAGTGTATAATAATTAGAGCTGTAACGATACATTTTTGCCTGATATGATACATTTCTTGATAAGATCATGATACGGTACACTTTATGGTACACTTTATGATACACAATATGATACATGAAACTTCGACACATGGCATGTTAAGAAAACCATCAATCATCAAATATTACGATATTGAAAAGAGTGAGTGAGTGAGTTTGGTTTTACGCCACTTTTAGCAATATTCCAGCAATATCACGGCGGTGGACACCAGAAATGGGCTTCAAACATTGTACCCATGTCGTGAATCGAACCCGGGTCTTCGGCGTGGCGAGTGAACTCTTTAACCACTAGGCTACCCGATCGCCCCAGCAGAACTTTGAACTTCACGATTAATTTTCAGACAAAATAAGAATCCTGCATCACTGGGTATTGATACGGTACTCATTTCATGGCACTGATGTAGCAAAGGTTCTATGAATCATGCCCCCTAATATACTTCCTTCTGGTGCTGACACTGGTGAGGGTGATTTTTGTTTGCTTGTTGTTTAACGCCGCACACAGCAATGTTCCAGGTATATGACGGTCAATAAATAATCGAATCAGAACCAGACAATCCAGCAATTGACATCATGAGCATCACTCCATGCAATTGGGATACGGTGACATGCATCAACCAAGTGAGCGAGCCTGTCCATCCGATCCCCTTAATTGCCTCTTATGACAAGCATAATCGCCTTTTACAGCATGCATGGGTTGGTGAAGACCTATTCTTTCCCGGATCGTAATGCTTGAAGGAGGAACTAAATCTCAGCTGCTGAGTACCATGCACAGATCTTATTTATCTCAACAAATGAAGGAACAAAAATTGCATAAAACAAGAAAATAGTCATTTAAAAAACGGAACCACATTTTCTTGGGTATAGGCAGACTTAAAAAATACTGTGTGTGCACAAACATGCATACAATAAGTGATGATGTTTTTCCCCAACACAAACATTAACATGAGCATGTAACACCTGAAATACGTCAACAAATCCATACTGAAGTACGTAATAATAATACAATTGGGGAAAAGGCGAATAATAATTCAATTGTGGAACACTTTGAGATTGTATCACAAGTACCGTATTCGACGTAATAAGCGCCCTGCTCTTATAAGCGCCCACTGCAATTTTTCCTAATATATTGGGCAGTGAACAATCCTAATTAGCACCCCTTCTGATTGATCAATGTACACAAGACTTATATATATATCTGTCGTACATAAACATTTCAGGCTGTCAGCATAAACCACGAAATTTATCCTTTAACTCTGTTTTTTTTCACTAAAATAATATTCTAATAAGAGCCCCCTATTTCTAATTTTGAAAGCGCCCTGGGCGCTTATTACGTCGAATACGGTAGTTAACAACTGCTAATATTTTGTCACTTCGACAAGCAATGTAACAACAAACTATTATCAGGACTCAATCACAGGGAAGAAACAATAAAGGCATGTAGGGCAGCACTGAAATTCACCCAGGATGTACATCACAATACACTATTTCAGAATATGTGTGTGAATACTTCTAATTCTTTTTATTTAAGAAGACCAAAAGCTGGTTTATTTTCCCAAATCCTGTTTTGATGTCATGTTGATGTTATTTTAAAACACCACCAATACATGAACACAAAGTATACAATTTATCAAACTAAAATGTTATTTGGCTTCAACTTTAAGACAAACTTGTGTCCAGCTAATGAAAACAATGTTTTAACTGATAAATGTCTGTAATGAATGATGCATATCATGTATCATATCGGTGAGATTAATATTGCAGTGTATCCATGGATTGTTTCATCTTATCACTATCTATTTCTACAAACTGTTCACACTTTTGTATATTCCACAAATAGGTTCATCAGCAATCTTTAACCTCAACAATGTCTTTGACTTTAGAATAGAAATAAGAAGTCAGAACACTTCCAATCTCATTAAAATCAGATCTTAATTCTCGCTACTGCTAAACAAAGATCTGAGGACATACCATTAGGGGTCACGTCAAAACGACCTTTCATCCGACCAATCAAGGCGTCGCTTACCAGATCATGAAAGTGACAGTCGGAATGTGATTTCTAATAATGCAACCTCAAAAACTTTAACACGGGGTATTCCGAACGATAGTTATGGGCTTAATGACTGAATCTATACAATCTAGACCATATATTAGCCATTCCAGAATGTTCTTTTGTTCTGGTTTCAAATTTTTACTCGAGAATTAGTCAAAATATGCTTCGAAGCGTAGTCGCCAATTTGAATTTAGTGCCGTAAAGCATGAGAAAGCTGCCTTCTGATTGGCTAATGTCTACTTCTTGTCTGTCCTTCCATTGGTCGGTCAAAATTCGCGCAAGGTCGGTCTGACGTGACCCGTAATGGGATGTCCTCAGATCTTTGTTTAGCAATAGCAAGAACTAAGATCTGATTTTAATGAGATTGTAACACTTCTCACACATTTGTTAGATTTTTCTGTTCAACCTTCCAGCAACATATTTTGGCATTTCAGAAGAGCTACAGAATGTGCCTTTCTCAATGTTTCTTTGGTTGTTTGTTGTTTAATGCCACACTCTGCAATATTTCAGCTATATGAAGGCGGTCTGTAAATAATCGAGTCTGAACCAGACAATCCAGTGATTGACATCATGAACATCGATCCACACAATCGGAATACGATGACATGCATCAACCAAGTCAGCAAGTCTGACCACCCGATCCTGTTGATTTGAGTTGTATTCAACACTGCTTTAAACAGCAGTTAGTGTCACTTTGTTTTCAGCTTGTGTTATCAGAGTGATTCAGCTTGTGGATGTTAACCACATAGTTCTGACAGCAAGGATCATAATCAGAGCTAATCTTGGCCTTGACATCATGACAACAGCACAGCCAAGGGACACAACTCTGCACATTCCATGACACGTCAGCCTACATGTCAGAACTCAACTCAGTCCTGTGCTGTGCAATAATGTTTATAACCTATATATTTATAGCTGGAATACAAGGTGCTTGTCCCAGAGTGCTTTTAGTCAATATATTTATGGGCATTAGTGTGCATTATTACAAAACAAATAGTGGCTCAGCTGAGTTCTTTTCTATTCTGAGTTGGCACATGGAACTAGATAACATATTAATATGAAGATATGTCAATTAAAACATTTCCAAATGATTACAAGAATTTCCAAAATAATGTCAATAGGTATAACAATTCACCCAATCATACTTTAAACAATGGATAATGGTTAGACTTCTGGTTTAAACAATAGTGGTTAGGGCTTAACGATGGATAGGCTGCTCTTGGCAATCATCGATGGTTAACATTTACATCTTGCTGTTCTCTCCATCTCTGCTTTGTTTTAACTGTGACACCAAGCTGCTGTGCAGGTCTGCACAAAGTGTCTTGATGCTGCAGTAATGCATGGTCGGCACCTATATATTATTCCTGGCCATATTAGACTTAACAATGAGGAGTTTTACATAACAGAGTACTTCCCTGGGCCCACTTGCACAAAGCGATCTTAGCACTAAGATGATCATAACTCCCATACTTTAACATAGGCTTACAATAGTCGTAGCGCTAAGATCACTTTGTGCAAGTGGGCCCAGGACTGAACTATTGTTTCTGTTAGGGGAGACATGGTAGACATGGTATGAATGATGATCACTTTGTTATTTATGACTTTACCCTAATTATCGTATTCGACGTAATGAGCGCCCTGTCTAATAAGCGCCCACGGCGATATTTGCTAATATATTGGCAAGTGAACAATCCCAATTGATCAATGTACACAAGACTTATTTATTCGTGTATAAAATGCACGAGTGTGTTATATACACCCTTCATTATGGGCAATTAAATTCAGGAAAAATATATCTGTCGTATATAAACAGTTTATCTTTCAACTCTGTTTTTTCCACCAAAATAAGATTCTAATGAGAGCCCCCATTTTCTATTTTTGAGAGCGCCGTGGGCGCTTATTACGTCGAATACGGTAAGTACTTTGTTTTACTGTTTGAAGGTAAATGTCTAGGTAATGCTTCGTACTTAGAGTTCTGCGATCCATTCACCTAAATATAATATACCCTTCTCTTCCTCACTGACAATACCCATATTAACAACAATTGAGCATAAACATGATACAGACTTCAAGAGACAGCCCTACTCCCTATAAAAATACTATTGCAGTAGACTAAGGAATGAACAAATATGGTAAGAAAAAAAGTCAACAATGCTGATGCACAAAGACAAACTAGACGCTTGCTGAAAAGAAAAGCAACAAAATCATACAACAAAGTTTTGGCAGTCATGGTATCTAATCATGGTATCTAATCATGGTATCTAATCACCTTGTGTATCATTTCCTTTGAGATAACAGCTGTTGAGGTAAAGCAGGTACAGCAAAGTCCTTTGTGAACACAGTTCTTGAGGTAAAATATACTACACAACAGAAGTTAGAGAACACCCGATTCTTTACCATTACCGGTACTATAGTTAATCTTTCCTGCCATTGTAATATGAAGAATCAAGTTTTTTTAACTTCTCTTGAGAAGTACCTAATATGCAAAATTAGAACAATTCACATAAGCTTATTTAAAAAAGGAGCATAAACATTTTTTCCATCTATAAATTACTGACCCTTCAGCAACCATATTTGGCAGTTGAGCTATTCATTTCTGATGAATAATTGCACCATAATAGAGTTCACGTCTAACTGAAAATATATGTTTTGGCAGCAAGAGAGATAAGCATGTGGAAGCATACCCGGTATATGTTTTTTTCATTATTAGAATAGTAACAATTGGTTTTGTGATCCTGAAGTAGTTTTATGTTTGTTAGCGAAGCGTGTTGGCAAACCCTGTTAGCAAAGCCTGTTAGCAAACCCTGGTGGAAGTTTGTATATGGATTTCTTTGTGCTATATGATGGTACTATGATTGCAAAACACCATGGATAGGAGAACCTCTTAAGCCTTAACAATACAGGACTAGTTGTCAAGACAACAAGGTCTCAAGTGATGACTGTTGGCGCCGTTCTCCCTGTGAGTTCTTGCAGCTGAGATACTTGTAGAGCTATATCAATTAATGGCTTCAGGACAACCTGCAACACAAAGTACAAATTCTTCATAAGACATTTAGAGTTGCATGTAATAATGACATAGCTTCAATGTTTCAGGGCAGTTCTTGCCACGTCATCTGTGATAAAGGGGCAGGAAGTAGCCCTGAAACATTGGGTATAATTCCGAAGTGGTTATCTATAATACTCCTTGTAAACATCCACCCAACAACTTCAAACTGCGAGTAGATGTTGTTTAACACTGCAGCCAGCAATATTCCAGATATATCCTGACAGCCTTTAAGTAATTGAGTCTTGTACAATACAATAAAATACAATGGTACACAACTGCATCAAACACTGGGAAAATGTTAGTCAACTCTGGTGCATTGGACGATTCTGCCCAATAATCCCCATCAAAGTAGGTACAACAATATTGCTTCTATATAGTACTCCAAAAAAGTTAATTCTTTCATTTTGCTGTGGTTAATCTGTAGTGCCATGACCGATTAACTTGTTTTGTTTATTTGTTTTTAACGCCACATTCAGCAATATTCCAGCTATATGACGGCGGTCTGTAAATAATCGAGTCTGGACCAGACAACCCAGGTGAAATGGGGCTTAATGTCATATTCAAGATTATGTCACTAATAAAATAGAGACGTGCATTAGGGCTGGGACGAGTCCAAATTTACTACCCGGGTACCTGACCCACTATTACCTGACCCTACCCATGTATCCACTGTAGGTCTCAAGAGTTGGGAACACAATGTCTAATTGGGAATAGTTTAACTGTAGCCCTGGCAAAAACTGTTGAGGCACATGTATGAAACCAGAGACTATACAATAGATATATGGTCTCTTATGAAACGATCAAATCATGCATACACTGAAGTTGACTAAAGCTTTATCTTTACTCAAACATATACACGTCAAAAGGAATGTGTGCATCATCAGAAAGAAATGCGAACATTAGCGACTTGTAGTGTAACCACTGAGCTATAGTGAGTTTTTGTCATTAAACAATATGTCACGTGACTAACCATGGGTTCGGGTAGTCCTGTGGGTACCTGGGTGCTACTCAGGGCCCACCCGACCCGAGTACCCGAGTTACCCGTCCCAGCCCTAACGTGCATGCATGAGAGAGTGAGGCTGCTATTCTAGTCAAAATTAATGCTGGTTTCTTCATAGTGCTAGCTCACTGAGATATCAAGCCAGTTTATCATAGATACGCCAGTCGGGCACAGTATAGTCCGAGAGATCAGTCCTCGTTTTATCCCCTCGATGCAGGCAGGGCAACAAGTATCATCTCTGAACATCCTTTGGTATGACATGGCAAGGGAATCGCACTACCAACTTTCTGCTCTCCGGGGTTCTACCCATGAGGACCAAATTGTGACACCCTACACCACTGTTCCATCTGTTCCCCTGCACGTAGAAGATGTTCACTGTAAAATCATATGCCAATATATACCTGGGAATCCAGGCCGTACTTGGCTGGGTCAGATTCGTATCCTTCAATGTACAGCCTGATGGTGGCACCACTACTTCCTGTGCCGCTCAGTCGGAATATGACACGGGAATCATCGGACATGATAAGTCTCACACCCTACAACAAACACAAGACACTGCATCAGAAGAGGTTCACACAGGTATGAGTGAGGATGACGGTCGGCAGGACAAGATAATGCTGATGTGAATGCAGATCTGCGAGCACCAACATGTAGTGTTTGAAATAGACATCAGCCCGTAGTCCCGAGGCTGACAGATTTTTTCTCTGGATGATAGTTTTACGTTTCAGCAGGCCCTTATTGCTTGCAGTTTATTTAAAGGGGAAGTGTACACGCAAAAATCACTTTCTTTCTTTTTCTAAACAAAACGCAATTTTAGAATTAACTAGTATCTGTGTTTGAAAATATACACTCATTTTTTTCACAGTGAAAGTAGGAAGCTCACAATAGTGTGAAAATGATATGCCGTTATGAGGCCTTCGTTTTTCGAGCTAAACAGGCCTGAGTTATCCCCCTTAGATTATGACGTAATTGGTGCCAATTCAACTGGGTCCCTGTCTATTCTCAACGCAAAAGATATCAAGGACCAGTTTGCGGTAAAACAACATGGTCTACGACACACTCCGGCGCAGTAGTGACTCAGCATAACACAATTCTGGCTGGCATCTGAGACACTAGAATCACAAAACTGTACCTACACCACGTGAAGCGGCTCTAACAAAGCATGATGACGTCATAATGTTTATCAATTGGCACCAATGACGTCATATTGCAAGGGGCATAAGCCATGGTGTTTTTGTTATGGAAATAGAACACTTGGTAAATGTGAAAAATATAAATCGTTTTAATGCAAAAAATATGTTAATTAAATATGATGTTTTTATATTTTTGTCTATGACACTTCTATGTTAACACTTTTAATGTGGAAAAAGTACAAGAAAAATTGGTTCATTTCTGTGTGAACTTGCCCTTTAAGTAATTATTTAAGTAATGTGATAAGGCTTCATCTATCATCACTGAGTCTCTGGGAACTCAGTGTGATAGCAGCAAATGCTTCTAGTTGACTGGTTGTGTTTTGTAGTTTTTATTGCAAGAGTATGTCTCCCTGCTTCAGCCAAAATGTTTAGGCCTTCAGTTTTTCCACTGGGCCTACATTTTTTTAAAATGTTCTGACCCTTAAGGCTCTCAGTTTACTCTGCTGAGTTTCAGACACTGCTCCCAAGTTATCTCAGAATTCTCAGATTCTCATGATTTGTCCATTACAGAGCTGACAATGCAATTTGAATGCCCACTAATACAGTTATACACTTAGAAGCACTACCATGGTGTAGAGTGGGTGGGTGAGTGAGTGAGTTTGATTTTACGCCGCTTTTAGCAATATTCCAACAATATCATGGCTGGGGACACCAGAAATGGGCTTCACACATTGTACCCATGTCGGGAATCGAACCCAGGTCTTCGGCATGACGAGCAAACGCTTTAACCCCTAGGCTACCTGACCGCCCCCATGGTGTAGAGACTTGCAATGTTAGCATATTATCATTATGAAATGTGTATTGTCTAACTGCTCTCCGTCACCAATCCTAATCTATATCAACCTTGTTATCCATCTATAAAAGGGGAGGTTACTCTCATTGACACTGACAGACCAGAACAGCTCAACAAGATGTGCACATGGACATATATTCAGATGTTTTGAAGAACAGAAGAAAGTCTGCAATGTCATATACACCTCATCTACCAACGAGTATTTTTGTACCACCTGTATACCAATGGTACTGAAGTGTGGTGTCAGATAATAATTACCGTATTCGATGTAATAAGAGCCCCACTCTAATAAGCGCCCACGGCGATATTTGCTAATATATTGGCTAGTGAACAATCCCAATTAGCACCCTTTCGATTGATCAATGTACACTTATGTATTCGTGTACAATATGCACTCGTGTGTTATATGCACCCTTAATTATGGGGAATTATTCTGGAAAATATATCTGTCGTGTATAATACGAACAGACTTTTCTTTTGTATCATTTCAGGCTGTCAGCATAAAACACGAAATTTAAGATCTTTCAACTATTTTTTTTTCCACCAAAATTATATTTTGGGAGCGCCCTTGGCGCTTAAGATGTCGAAAACGGTAGATGATAAACAATAGTATAGGTAATGAAATAGTTAAACATTGTAATGTAACTTCAGCAGGGAAGTGACATGAAATCAGATACATTTACACACACCAAGTTCAGCACCTCAGAATTACACTCCCAGTCATCTTAGCCATGAGATTATTAAACTTTGACAGTATTATGAACAGCTCTACATGAAGTACACTCTTTGAGCATGACATACTCCCTACCTGGCCTTTAGTGACGCTGTTGTCGATGGGGTCGGTGTAGGAGAAGTTGTCTGCCACAGCGACTGTATACGTCTTGTCCCCCGAGCTGTACTGCTTCCCCACAAGGGCTGGGTCAGCTATGAGTGCATTCAGATTTGCCATCATCTCATTGGCTGGGGCAGTGTCGACGTTCTCAAAGTCATGTCTGAAGAATATATTCCACTGACTATGAATGAAACTATTATGACACAGCTCTACACAGAGTGTCACAACAAACACTAAAAACAAGAAAACTTTCACACTAATTGTACACTTAAGCTTGAAGTTGTAAACTCGCAAATCTAATGATTTTTGTTTGTTGTACACAACAATATTCCAGCTTTATTATTGCGGTCTGTAAAAAATCAATCAAGTCAAAACTGTAATTGACATCATGAGCATCGATCTACACAGTTGGTATACGATGACATGCATCTACCAAGCCTGCAAACCTGACCACCCCATCCATTGAGTAGCCTCTTACAACAAGCATAGTAGGGCTGGGACGAGTCCAACTTTACTACCTGAGTACCAACCCCACTATTACCCGACCCTACCCGGGTACCCACAGTAGGTGTCAGGAGATGTCTCAAAATGTCTGATAGGGACCTTTTTTAGCATAGGCCTGGCAAAATGTAGTAAGATCCATGTATTAAACAATCTGGTCATGCATACACTGAAGTTGGCATAGTTTATATTTTTATTCAACCATATGAAAAATCAGTATGAATGCATGGGTGCATAGTCAGAAAGAAATGCGAACATTAGTGACTTGTAGTGTACCCATAGAGTTCCAGATAATTTTTGTCTTTAAACAATATATCACGTGATTAACCTGACCCGGGTACCCGAGTTACCTGTCCCATCCCTAAAGGTATAAATGCAGAATGACATACATGCATTTGCATTTGCTTCAAATAAAATGGCAGCATCTAGTCAAGACAATCTGATCGATAATCAAAATCGTTTTTGTAATGAAAAGGGTCTTACTTCACAAAGTGCATTAAATCATGTGAGCACCTTGATTAAAATAATGAAAACATTTTAAAAATATCTGTTGATGCTGAGTTGGCGGTACACATGCTTCGCGAATCAGCAATCAACCAAAATCTGCACGGTAGTTTACGAACCTGATGTTGATTTTATTGTGCGATTTTGATTGGACTATGCATAGAGTTGTTAGTCCTGCCAAAATATGACTCCATAATTGCAGCCTAGTTTGGCAAGGGTTGAAACTGGACTTCAATAGTCAGTTAACTCCCTTGCCTCGGGAAGATGTGTATCGGTTATCATAGATCATAAAGTCATCGTTTAAGCCGTACCCCACTGTCAAGGCCACCTACTGACCTCGTAAAGAAGTTCCTGCCAAACTTATTCCAGTGATCCATGAGCAGGTCTTCCACGGACTTGTTGGTGTGAGCCAGTATAGACAGCCATGCCAGCACCGCCCACACACCATCCTTCTCCCTGCCACCACCAGACACACATGATGAAGGTACTTGACATAGTAGGGGCATATAATACATTGAAGACATTCATCATTCTTATCACCACACCAGAAAATTTCAGTCTTGTTTTCCAGATGTTTTCTTGGTCTTGACCAAGATGTAGAAAGCAAAACATATTAACAATAAATTTCTGCAATGGATCGCATGAGATTAATTAGAGATTAATTTCTTTAACAAAACAACATATTTTCAACCTTACACAGCATCATAAGTTTCAATTTCATCCATGTTTGTATAATACATAATACAAGAAAATAATTTGCTTTGGCCCCTTGACAGAATGTCCAAAAGGTCAGCCTTGATAATTTATAGACAAATATCGATAATATATTGAATATAATCAGAGATCATATACACCAAAAGGATTTGATATGATCTACGCAGACATTCAGGTTTCAGTCATGTTTGTACATCGTGTGTCAAGTGTACTGGGATGCTGCTGACCTGATGTGATCTACATAGACAATTAGGTTTCAGTCATGTTTGTACATTGTGTGTCAAGTGTACAGGGATGCTACTGACCTGATGTGATCTACGCAGACATTTAGGTTTCAGTCATGTTTGTACATCGTGTGTCAAGTGTACAGGGATGCTACTGACCTGATGTGATCTACGCAGACATTTAGGTTTCAGTCATGTTTGTACATCGTGTGTCAAGTGTACAGGGATGCTGTTGACCTGATATGATCTACGCAGACATTTAGGTTTCAGTCATGTTTGTACATTGTGTGTCAAGTGTACAGGGATGCTGCTGACCTGATATGATCTACGCAGACATTTAGGATTCAGTCACGTATGTACATCGTGTGTCAAGTGTACAGGGATGCTGCTGACCTGATGTGATCTACATAGACATTTAGGTTTCAGTCATGTTTGTACATCGTGTGTCAAGTGTACAGGGATGCTACTGACCTAATGTGATCTACGCAGACATTTAGGATTCAGTCACGTATGTACATCGTGTGTCAAGTGTACAGGGATGCTGCTGACCTGATGTGATCTACATAGACATTTAGGTTTCAGTCATGTTTGTACATCGTGTGTCAAGTGTACAGGGATGCTACTGACCTAATGTGATCTACGCAGACATTTAGGTTTCAGTCACGTATGTACATCGTGTGTCAAGTGTACAGGGATGCTGCTGACCTGATGTGATCTGACCCTGTACCGAAGCTCTCCTCTCCACACAGGGACAGCCTCCCAGCATCCATCAGGTTACCAAAAAACTTCCAGCCAGTCGGAACCTCAAAACACTCCTTCCCCGTCGACTTTGCAACTCTGCAAGTATTTATTCACATCAAGTTCTTATACTGTAGTGATCTTAGATAAATTTGCTGATAACTGAAAAGCCTTACTAATTGTTATTTATATGGCTTGACAGATTCATCAGACTTTGGAGTACAAAACAAACCACAAGACAGACCATAGTACATATAAAGTCACCAACACCTAAAAGTTTCTTTCACTTTCAAACTGCAGAATGGCAATACAACATTTCACTATAACTGGCAGAGTTCTCATTACACTGGGATCTGACGCACCTGTCAACTGCTCCACTTGTGGGCATGCTCCTGGCATAACCTTTGACCCCAGTCTTCTGGAAGTATGGGATACAATCCAGGTTTTGGGCCAGGATCGCGAGCGAGTCACACGGCGTCACGAAGAATGCATTGTGTCCCAGGATCATGTTCCTGTCCTGAAAGGGGATGTACATATACAGCCAGCATTACATGTACTAGTTCCTAACCCAAGTCAGTGAACCTCCTACAATCTCCTCCTGATGTTGTCACATGTAACACATCCCTGTAGTCACGTACATTCCCGCTCCAACAATCCGCAGTCTTACTGTGAGGGAAAGACCAGCCGGTGTGAGCTGTGTCTGTCACATATAGACATGCAATTTTCACACAGACAAATGAACTAGACATCCGGTTCGTACACAACATGGATTTCAACATGCAGATTTCAGTCGACTGCAGGATTTTCAAAGCATGTGTACTGAGTACAAGTGGGTGTCGACAGATATTTTGCAAATCCAGCCTAGTTTGGCAAGGGAGGGAACTGGACTATAGTCAATTAACACCCTTGCCTCAGGAAGAGTGAGTGAGTGAGTGGGGTTTAACGCCGCTTTTAACAGTATTCCAGTTATATCACGGCGTGTCAGCTTAATGTGGGAGGAAAGCCCGAAGTCATGCAGGTCTAAGACGTTTACCACTTGGGTGAAACCCACGAGCACAGGTATGGTGCTGACAAACCTAGAAACATAATCAGGGCGAACCGGGATTCGAACCCACAATCACGGCCAAGGGACGCAACTCTGCACAGAGAATCGCGGCGCCTTAGACGACTGGGCCACTCATGCCCCCGCCTCAGGAAGATGCTATCTTATGACATCCCTTCACACACACAGAATACTGACCCCATCTCCATCGAACGCTGCACCGAAACCATGCTGTCCTTTCTGGAGCTCCTTCACCAGGTCAGCAGCATAGGTCAAGTTAGGGTCAGGGTGATGACCTCCAAAGTCTTGCAGTGGGACACAGTTGATGATGCTGGATTCTGGCGCACCGAGCTCATCCACAAATATCCGCCTCACATAGGGACCAGTTACTGGAATCAGTAGGGCATCGGGGTTATCACAAAATGCACAACTGACGTTGAAACTAAACTCTTTATGGCTGAACTACTTAAGAGAAGTTATGAACACTTGATTCTTTTATATTACTGTAGTTACGGTAATCAATTAAGGTTACTTTCTACACTGAAATCTATAAGGGCAGGTAAGCATTAATATTACTGAAATCAAGAGGTCTTGACGTGAGTTAGCAGCTTTGTGATAAATCATGGTTGCCAAATATTGAATTTGGTCATAATACATAGACGGATCCAGAGAGGGGGGGGGGGGTCCGCCAGGTCTGGGAGCAATACTGCCATAAACTTCAACCCCCATCCCCCAGACACAAGGACAACTGTCACAAGCGTGCAATGTCTGACCCTTTACCCATGTGGAAGCATATTGAAAAAAAATTACCTTGTACTTACTTACCTTTTGTTGAAAAAAAAACTCCATTGCAAACATAAGACATTAATACAACATATATCACCATGTTATGGGTTTTTGGACGCTGAAGAAACATTCATAGTTTTCTCGCTACTCACATGAACAACTGTAAATTATCTCATTCACTTACAGGCTAAAAGACAAATTTATCTTAAAAACAAGCCATCATCTGACTCAGAGTATTTACAATTTCTGTGTGACGCCACACCCCACGTTATAGTGCAAGTATTCGTGATAGAAAACGTATGATACCCGAAAACCTACGCTGCTGAAAGCTCTGGTCGAAAACAGGACAATCCGCGACGGTTGTCCGGTTTTCGATCATATTTTTCAGTGTTTTTTGTTAAATCTTTGATTATATTTTTACGCGGAAGATGATTTTTTCCAAGAACTACTGTTTTAAAAACGCGATTTTCCGCGTTTCCGCGGAGATTTCACATCCCTGACACTGTATGTTGTAGGCAGTAAAATTATCTGAGACAGGATTTTGATATTTTGGACCCCTCCCTTTTAAAAATGCTGGATCCACCCGTGCAATGGCAACCCAAATGATAGTTAACAGGGATTATCTAGACCTGCTTAGAGGCTGATATTCATTTTCAAGTCTGAAGCAATTCTAAGTACAAATTCCCAAATTGGAATTAAAAAATTGCCAAGTTATGTTATTATAGTAATAACTAATGTTGTGGCTTTGGCAGAGGTGACTTGCATTTCACAGGACTAATAAACAAGAGGCTTTAATGTTTAGTTTTACCTTCCGCATTGAATCAAATATTAAAATAATGAATTTAAGAAAAAAATTTTTTTTAAGAAAGTCCTAATTTTCAAAATGGTGTTTGTTTCCATGACGAGTGGCAGTTTAGAATCCTAGACAAATACCTGGAGGGTTGTTCAGTGGACCAGAACTTTACCTCCATGCATAGCATTGATGAGGATCTTCAATGGTGTTACTGCGCCTTCTGCCACGATGGTCTTGATGGATTCAAAGTTGAAGATCTCTTTCATATACGTGACATAGTCAGCGACAGAGTCTAGTATTTCAACAGTGAAGGTGGCGCCATCCACCTGGAACGTCTGGGTGCCTATTGTAGAGATGTCTGCCTGCAAGGCTGGACATGTCAGGTACTCTGAGATGGATTTTGTGATTTCAAAGATTCTATTTGTTATTGCCTCAGGAGCTGGACCTGGAACAATGAAATAAATAATAATAATAATAATAATAATAATAATAATCCATTTATATGGCGCTTAGACATCTATTACCCCGGTCAATGGATCAGTGTGCACTCAACAATCATTCTCAGCTCCCTGGGGAGTATACAACCCATGCTGCCTGTTAGCTGCTAGAAGGGAGAACACAGGCACAGTTTGAACAGTCACTTCCCCAAGTAGACACCACATGTGTTACATGTGCTTCAGTAATGGGGCAGCACCAAAGTCCTAGAAGCTCTCAGGACCCTAACTGCTGGACACGTTCACCCATCCATGGCCATCCAGGTCTTCCCAAAACCAATGAGTGGAACTCAAGGATGCCTGGTGTGGTGATCCTAAGTTAGAGTGAGTGAGTGAGTATGGTTTTACGCCACTTTTAGCAATATTCCAGCAACATCACGGCGGGGGACACCAGAAATGGGCTTCACCAGAAATGGGCTTCACACATAGTACCCATGTCGGGAATCGAACCTGGGTCTTCGGCGTGACAAGCAAACGCTTTAACCCCGACCGCCCCCCTAAATTAGAACAAATCCCCGGCAACCTATGCTGGTCATAAGAGGCGACACAATGGATTTGGTTGTCACTTTGATTGTTTGCTTGTTTGTTTGTTTGTTTAACGTTGCACTCAGCAATATGACGGTGGTCTGTAAACAATTGAGTCTGGACCAGACAATCCAGTGATTGACATCATGAGCATCGATCCACGCAATTGGGATATGATGACATGCATCAACCAAGTCACCGAGTCTGACCACCCGATCCTATTTGTCACCTCTTAAGACAAGCATGGGTAGCTGAAGACCAATTTCTAACCTGGATCTTGGAGTCGGAAAATAAATGTATATATTTGGATCTAATCTACTGTACCTCCATTAGGTGTGTTGAACTTGATGCCGAAGTCTCCATCTGGGCCCCCGGGGTTGTGACTTGCAGTCAGGATGATTCCTCCCTGCGTCTGGTATTTACGGATGAGGTAGGAAACTGCTGGTGTAGACAACAGGCCATTCTGACCTATCAACAACTTGGACACCTGTAGATGAAATAAATGTCATTACTCTTTGGTACTGTAACTTTTTTTTATGTCATATTCACAGTATTAAGGGTCCATATCCAACATGCGTCCCCCAACCAACTTTTAGACAAATATGTAAAGAATCTTTATACTCTACTAAGAGTGAAAATTTATTGTGAGACATCATAACACTGATGGCAATGCTCATTCTTCCAGTCACTAGGTTTGCTGTGTCCAGACTCCATTATTTACAAGCTGCTTGATCCAGCTGGAATATTGCTGAGTGCTGCATTAAACAATAATCACTTATGCATGGGACATTTCTTGTTTCTCATGACCAGCCTACACCTAAAATAAGCACTGTTACGAAACAATCTTTCCTACCCAATTTCGTTTTCACACCATATTCCAAATATTTATCTAGACCTGCTTATATAATGATATTCGGCCCCAAATCTGCAGGGAATGACAGTAAAAATTCCCAATTTGAATTAGATATGTCCCAAATCCTCAAAATTTAACAAAATATTATGGTAAAGAAATGCAATTTTGAAGAAGCTGACAGTTTCCTCCCAATTTTTCACTCCGAGATAAATCCCTGCATGCAGTGCCAATCATAGAGCGCCAGATTTGCAGGAACAATGGCCTTGGATTGTCTCTTATTTCATACTTCACAGGAATGACAAAAACAGGACGCATGGTTCATTAGAATCAACTTTACAGATTGTGAACCTATTAAAGAAATAAAATAAGAAAATATATCCTCCTTGCCTAATCAATTTCTTTTGAAAAAAGTCATGAAAAAACAAAGACATATTAATAAATGAATGTCTTTAGCAAATAAGTGTCACTAAGAGTTGCAACTTTGTTGACTCACTTGAGCTAACCATACCAACCAGGCCCTCATATATTTTATCAGCTGTCAACCAGCTGTTCACCTACTTTATCATGTTCATGTAAACATGAAGCTCACTGGTGAAAGTAGGTAAGGCACTTGGTCAAAATGTAGCATACCCCATTTGCAGCACACATTCTGATGATAAGTTCAGTTGCTTCTTTGCCATAGAATCTTCCATCACCGCCGACAACTAGAGTGCTTCCCTTTAGTCTGTCACCAACACCTGCTATGAGGGTAGCTTGGATGAAATTTTCGGTGTAGTTTGGTTGATTCTGGTAAACTTTGACAGCTTTCCTAAGTCCACTTGTTCCTGGTTTCTGGTCATCATAGGGCTTAGTGCCAACTTTTTGTGCAGTTAGCGACATTTTCTATAACTAAGTCCTACAGACTCGCAAGAGGCGATTAAAATTTTCAATCGACAACTTCGTCTTTGCAATATATTACACGCCGGGTACCTGCAATCTAGTTTGCCTGCGTTGCCATTTACTCAATGACAATGACCCCATGACCTTGACCCGTCCTTGACAGCTCAAGGACGTTGTGACGGCAGGTAAAGGTAATAAAAAATATCTATACGTCAGGAGAATAATGTCTTGACTTATAACGCATTATGATTTAATTTCCATAAGCAACATGATTTATTGCTTATACTCAGTATATATTTACTATTTATATTTGACCCCGACGCAAGTGCGCTCCTGCTTCGAGTGTCACTTCCTGTTATTATTCGGTCAGGGTCAGCTGCTTGAAATGTATATTGTCTAGTTTCCTGACTGTGGACCTATCATCTCATCATGGATGACACAGTTGGAGGCGGCTATGGGTCAATTAACTCAGACATAATCCCAATAAATGGCGCCGAAGATGGGAATTCACGCGGAAGGTATCCGCCATATACACAATTTTCAGTTTCAGTGATAATTTCAGTTTCGCCTGTGACATTTATTTTGACAGTTTGGGCTTTCCCCATATTGTTATAGATTAAACAATAAATCAGTGAGATCCCTGTTATCTTCCCATTTTCCTTCTTCCTTCTTTCAATTTAGATCTAGAGTTGTAACCGTTTTACTGTGATTGTTCCTCAAAATTCAGCTCCCGCGATGGTTGTGCATGTGGATTTAGGAAAATCACACATATCATATAATTAAATATTTTATCGACGGTATCAATAATCGGATTACCGTTGAGTATTTTGTAATTTCAGAACCAAAATGGGGAGAGGAAGTCGCAGGGATGGAGAAGTAGCTACAGCACGACGGTATTGTGTTGCATTCATAACATTTTGCACATATAGATTCTATGCCACTTATAATGCAAGTAGATTACTACCTGTCATGTAGATCATCTTACATATGTAAAGTTTGGCATGCCAGAAACCTATGACTGTGGGTTTGAATCATGGTTCACCCTGATGTGTCCAGGTTTGTCAACATCATGCACGCTGGTGGGTTTCACCAAAGTGGTCAACATCTGAGACCTAAGTAACCTCAGGTTTTTCCCACATCAAACTGGCATGCTGTGATATAACTGGAATACTGTTCAAAGCGGCGTTAAACCCAACTCAATCACTCATGAATATGTCATGAAGAGCTTCATGCATATGGCACGTGTTAAGTGTCATGCATATGTCATCTAGTGTGTCATGCATGTCTCATGAAGAGCCAGGCATATGACATGGTAAGTGTCATGCATGTGTCATGTAGAGCCAGGCATATGACATGTTAAGTATCATGCATGTGTCATGTAGAGCCAGGCATATGGCATGTTAAGTATCATGCATGTGTCATGTAGAGTGTCATGCCTATGTCATGTGAGCATCATGCATGTGTCATGTAGAGTGTCATGCATGTGTCATGTAGAGCCAGGCATATGGCATGTTAAGTATCATGCGTGTGTCATGTAGAGTGTCATGCATGTGTCATGTAGAGCCAGGCATAAGGCATGTTAAGTATCATGCATGTTTCATGTAGAGTGTCATGCATGTGTCATGTAGAGTATCATGCATTGTCATATAGAGCCAGGCATGAGGCATGTAGAGTGTCATGCATGTGTCATGTAGAGCCAGGCATGTGGCATTTTAAGTGTTATGCATGTGTCATGTAGAGCCAGGCACATGGCATGTAAATTGTCATGCATGTGTCATGTAGAGCCAGGCATGTGTCATGTAGAGTGTCATGCATGTGGCATGTAGAGCCAGGCATGTGGCATGTTAAGTGTCGTGCATATGGCATGTAGAGTGTCATGCATGTGTCATGTAGAGTGTCATGCATGTGGCATGTAGAGCCAGGCATGAGGCATGTAGAGTGTCATGTAGAGTGTCATTCATGTGTCATGTAGAGCCAGGCATATGGCATGTTAAGTATCATGCATGTTTCATGTAGAGTGTCATGCATGTGTCATGTAGAGTGTCATGCATGTGTCATGTAGAGTGTCATGCATGTGTCATGTAGAGCCAGCCATATGGCATGTTAAGTATCATGCATGTGTCATGTAGAGTGTCATGCATGTGTCATGTAGAGCCAGGCATATGACATGTTAAGTATCATGCATGTGTCATGTAGAGTGTCATGCATGCCATGTAGAGCCAGGCTTACAACTCATGATTGATCTTCCCCAGTGAAGTGAAGGAGTGTGGAGAGTTTCAACTTTTGATGATGTCCTCAGAAAACATGAAGGAGACACTGAAAGTAACTTGATGGTTTAACGCTATGATGTTTTGTTTCCAGACAACCGATCCGTCAGTATAGCATTGGGAGCACTACCGATGATGGTGATGAGACCCAGGCGCTACTCAGTCGCTACAAATACTATAACAGATTAGCTCCACACAGTGAAAGTGTGCTGGTAAGATATCCGTGTCAATCAAGCAATTGGTGGTGTGTATTCAGAGAACGTACCACTGAATCAGTGAATGTCTTTTCAGGTAAACTAACATAGGATAACTATCTTGGTCAATAAAAATGTGAAATTTGAGATAAATATCACCAGATATAATGGTGTACCATTTCCATTGTATTTCCTGTTCTGCCTGGCATTGTTCTATATGCGGGATTTAAAATTACCCTGTGTATTTTCTTGTAAACTAAGCCAGAAATAGCGATCAGCTGTACTCACATTTTCTACCAATCTGCCAGTGATTTGGTTTCAAAAATACCCAATAGTATATATCTTCAACGAATTTTGATGCTGGGATCAGATAAATTGTATGTGAAACTATTATTTTATCAGAAACAAGCATGAAATACTCATATCCCCCGCCAACATATCTGGTTGTGTGCAGGGCATTGTGTTTATCTTCTCCAATGTTTTGATAGGGTTTCATACATCATACAAGGGGCGGTCGGGTAGCCTAGTGGTTAAAGTGTTCGCTCGTCACGCCGAAGATCCGGGTTCGATTTCCGACATGGGTATAATGTGTGAAGCCCATTTCTGGTGTCCCCCACCGTGATATTGCTGGAATATTGCTAAAAGCGGCGTAAAACCATACTCACTCACTCACTCACTCACATCATACAAACAGTTTATGCTGTGTTTTCCAGCAAATGCCCGAACATGTGGTTCCGGAAAACTACTGGATCAAGATCCTCATCCCAACCAAGGGGAAACAGAGCAGCATCATCACCATGTGAGTGGCCAAAAATGAGGAAATTTAAAAAAAAAACATTGACCTCATTTATAAGAAATAATAGAAATATAATTTTGTGTTCTTTTTATCTTGAGTAATCTGATGCATCAATATTAATGATTTGATTGATTTGAACATGATTTTTCGACCACAGCAGGCATTTGGAAACAAATCTATCTCAGGCCATTGTGTGGAAATGTTTGTGTATGGAAAGTGTATGGAATTTCACTATTATTTTAGTTAATTATGTGACTCAACATGCTTGAACTGATTTTATGCAACATTTTGAATGTTGACCTTCTCATGACCATGCAGTGTTCTCTCAAAATGCATATTTTATGCTGCAAACTTCTCTGAAATTAAGGAGCTTCAGTGCCGTGGGACTATTTGTTTACTGGTTTCACAGATCAGTTGATAACATCCTTTATAGACGAAATAACAGGAAACAATTATACCTGTCATCAATATGATCGGGCTGATATTGATGATATTGATGAATAACTAATAAAGAGTAGAAAGTATAATCTAGACTGAGCCTTGTCCAGTCATTTCCTTGCAGCACAAAGTGTCATTTTGCTTTCCTCTGGTTGAAACTTAGAATATATTCACACACTTAATATAAAATAGTGTATCGTGATACGTATTTATCATGAACAAAGTTTTAAGACTCCATTGTATCGACTATGGTTACATACAAGCTCCGTTACACTTTCGGTAACATTGCTGCCACCAGTGTTGGCAAGGCCATTACAAGAATCTTGAAATTTGCCCTCTAACACCAAATGTAGTCACGTTCATACTTTTTGTTTGTGTTTGGGAATGCCATCATAGTTTTGAAAAGGTTTACGACTGACCATGTTTTCCAGATGAATTTACTTTGTTGTTTGTATAATCAGATTGGTTCGAGATTGCAGTCTAACGGAAAATCAACCAACATCTCCCTTACATTCTTACTATATCAATTATATGATAGTTTTAATGAAATAGAAATTCAAATTGACAAACAAAGAAAGTAATTTAGCAGGGGTAAGTGTACGACAGTCGTCACTTGTTTGTAAACATAACCCTCAATCGGCTGCGAGTTCAACTCCAAGCATGATTGTGGTCATCTTTCACTGTGGGGAGCTTGTGGCTACATAATGCCAAAATGAATATTATATCTTTTAAATGTTCTCAAACTAGTTTTAAGCATTATCTGTGATAATACTGTCCTGTGATAATACTGTTGTACTGTCCTTTGGCGACAGGTTTTTGTACGGTCTAAATATATATCATTAATGTATAACTTTCTCTCGGCACGGTATGGCTGAAATATTGCTGATGTGATGTTAAGTTTAACTCACTCACTCACTCACTCACTGAATGTTTAACACTGAGACACTGTTACAGCTTCTCCTTGTGGAACACGATGATGGGGACTTCAATACTAGCAATGCCCTGGGCCATCAAGCAGGTACTACACAAGGATATTATAGAATTATTGGTGATTTGAAACCTTTGATGGACGAATCACAGTTGAGTATTTTTGAAAGTCATGGTAGAAAACTAGTTTGTTGTGTAATTTTCTTATCAAAACGAATAATACACAGAATATGGGTCAGTGCTGTGTCACTTTTGTATGAGACCAACCCAGTGTTAAAATTCAATGTTAAAATACCTCTGAATTTGGGAAAAAAAGAACTTTTTTAAAAATCCCAACTTTGAACAAAATGGTGATTTTCCCCAATCTGCCGATGAAGGGCACTTTCCTATTGATGCTTGTTGAAAGTAACAAAAGAATTGTGATGCATCAATCTATGGTAAATTGGAGAAATTGGAGATGGCATTATCTGCCCAGAGCTGAGTTATAATCTATATGTTTCACTGCAGGCTGGGTTTGTGACTGGGATTGTGCTGTTGGCAGCCATGGCGGCTCTCATGTTATACACCAGCTACAGAATACTCAAGTCTGGGGAGGGAATCGGTGAGTTGATTCTCTTCACATGTATATGGTATTGTGTTCATTCTATGCTCGTCGTAAGAAGCGACTATGCTTGCAGTAAGAGGCAACTATGCTCGTCATAAGAGGCTACTATGCTCGTCGTAAGAGGCGACTATGCTTGCAGTAAGAGGCGACTATGCTTGCAGTAAGAGGCGACTATGCTTGCAGTAAGAGGCGACTATGCTCATCATAAGAGGTGACTAACGGGATCTGGTGGTCAGGCTCGCAGACTTGGTTGATGCATGTCCTCGTTACCAATTGCATGGATCGATGCTCATAGTGTCAATAACTGGATTGTCTTGTCCAGACTCTATTATTTTCAGGCCTCCGTCATATAGCTGGAATAGTGCTGAGTGCTGCATTAAACAACAAACAAACAAACAAACAAATATACATATACAAATTAAGATGATTCTATGAGATTCCTTGATTGTACAGGTTATTCATTTCTGGGGAACTATTGTTGTACCTATGTTTGAATTTTCCCCTGCACAAGCATCCAGACGCATTCATGTCACTGAAGGCCGATTTACTCACTCTATGCACATGTGCTCTGACATGTACACGTGCACTCATTAAACATTTATCGCGACGATATGAAATGTACAACAGATCGCATGATATTGAACTTAGCATTATTCCAATACTCTACAAAATGCTCTACTGCTAAAAAGTCAATCAGCAAGGTTTTTTTGTTAGATTTAAATGTTTGAAAAGGGCTTCTCTTTCAGGTTTCTTCAATTATGATAAAGGGCAAGTAAGGTCAACAAACTTTACAGATTTTAATACTTTGGGGCATACTCTATCACAAATGCAAGACCAAAATTTTATTTGAAATATGGAAATAGCGTAAAATAGTGTCAGTAAGGGGAATGCACTTACTGGGGGTTTAGATGGGTTCCCGGTGTTTCACGTGCTGTGCGATTTCAATTTCAACGTCACCTTAGTAACAACACTGAAGATGCCTTCAGTTGTTTACTCAGGGGATTAATCCCTGACAGGCATTGTTGTGTGGAATATGGCTGAGGGCAGCTGGTGTTTTATTACCCAAACAAGATGTTGAAAGTAAAAAGCTAGATACAGAATGTTAATTGTCATTATAATTAATCACTATGTCAAGATCAAAGGACGTTTCACACATTCACAATAGTTATTTTATAATAAGATTAACAGAAATAGCAGAACCTGTGTATGGATAATGGCTAAGAATCACAACATTGATAAACATAGATAGCATACCAGCAATCTTATTATTGTTTTCTACGAATATATACTTTCTCTCTCGTAAATTACCAAAATGTGTCTAGGAAAATTGATATTCACAACATAATCGCAATCATTTTTTTCACTTTGCTTGCCCTTTTACCTTTTATATCATGTTAATGTAACCTTCATTAGGGCATAGTGACCCTGTTGTATAAGGCAACTCATGTGCAGAGTTGCATCCCTTGGCCATGTCAGGATCTGCTGATCAAGGTTGAACCAAGTTATGCCCTGAATATGAGAATATGATTTTGATTTTTCAGCATCATGCTCATTGTTATGAAAGGATAAACGTCTACAACTCACACCCCTTTGCCACCCATGAAGATCTGGGGTAGAATAGATCTTCAGCAACCCATTCTTGATGTGAAAAGCGATGATGCTTGTCGGAAGAGGCGACTAACGGGATCGGGTGATCAGTCTTGCTGGCTTGGTTGATGCATGTCATCGTATCTCATTTGTGTGGATTGATGCTCATGATGTCATTCACTGGACTGTCTAGTCAAGATTTGATCATTTACAGACCGACGTCTTGTAGCTGGAATATTGCTGACAGTGGGATTAAAAAACCCCAAAACAAACAAACACACCCCTTTGGGATTACCTCCCACCTGTTATTAGTGTTAATGAAATACCATTCAAAGTTGTGTTGAACCTTGATAATATATGGATGTCATCTTGCTGTGTATTTTTTTATTTCCAGCTGGCTCTAGTCAAACGTTTGAGTTTTCTGATGTTTGTGGTTACTACCTTGGCCGGTGGGCAGAAATAGGAGCAGTTATCTGCTCCTTGTTGACACTGCTAGGTGGCGCTATTGTCTACTGGATTCTCATGTCCAACTTCCTCTATAATGTTGTCACCTTCATATACTGTGAGTACCATGGAATCTCTCCACTCAAATACGAAGCAATTGTCATTTGTTCTAAAAAAAAAAAAAATTATGTAGACTTTAGATGTTACATGGTTTAGGCTTAAGAAAATAATAGTCTTGGTTCTCCGGCAACACTGCCATCATCTTAAAGTCCGCCTCACAGTTTGTTTTTATTTTCATCCCCCCTCCCCCCCCCAAAAAAAACCCCTTTACTTTTCCGCATCCCAAACACACGACCTCGGTAGTGCAATGCTGCAATACTTAAGAACAATATGATTTCGCCGAAATTATTGTAAACAAAGTTAGGTTACATACTACCACCCCCTGAAAATAACCAACTCCCCCGCACTATATTTTCAAATGCTATTGCATGAGAACCAATTCTTACATTTTTTAAGCCTTATGGATCTGCTGACCTTAAAAGTATGAAAAGTATGAAAAATTATCACCTGTAAATCACAATAGTTTTCTTATTCTCCTAAACACAAACTTATGTGGTCATCATAAAAAACATAGAGTATGAAAGTGCTAAGCTACAAGACCAAAGTGATTGGCTTGTGGAACATTAAAGTGTCATTTCTGTTTCTTCAGGGCAACCTTTCAGTGACATCGTTTCAGTGTACTTGAACAGAAGCTCTTTATATTTTCAGATAAATTTGATCATGCTGATAATTCCACAGTGCCACTGGACAACTCCACTGACTTCCCTGATAGTAAGTAAGATATTAATGAATCATTAAGTGTACTATTACTGCCTCGGAACTGTGAATGCAACCATGGCAACTGGAATGATTTGAGCCTGAATTCTGAAGTAAAATGTTTTTGATGTAAAACAAATATGCTGCATTTTGACAGATAAAAATGACCTTGAATGGGGTTTGATAGTTATTAATTATATTTATCCTGACACAACACATTGCAATTTCATTCTTCACTTTGATAATATGACACAGAACCCAAAACCTGCCTCTTCTGTCTTAGGGTCAAGATCTTGCCTTTGGTTACCAATCTTTGGTCACCTGTCCTTGAACTCTCTTTTTCCTTCTCATTGCACAGGGGCGATAGCTAGTGGTTAAAGCATTCTGCACACTGGGATACATGTGTGCTTGCTATTGAGATACCAAATCCTTGCTGTTGTGGTTGTTTGACATTAACACCCAAGACCTACAGTCTCTGGTATCACAGCCTTAATAACAGATGGGCAGACATAATGTATACTTGGACCCAATACCAAGTACGCAGTGTGCAAGCTGGACATATGACAAGTCAGCAGTATCATCATTCCACAGTACTGATGAAAGTGGTGATATTGTCCTGTCAAACTTTATCTGGGTTACATCTAAGCCAGGACTTCCACCAGGACTATGAGACAGTCCAGTGACAAGGTCTACCAGGAAGTGGTGGTGGTGATGGCGGCTGTTCCTTCCTCTGGTGTAATGGAGGAAAGCTGTGGCATTCTGACTAATGGCCCTAGCATCCACGATAAAGGGTCCACTGTCAACTAATATCTGAGCGATATCAGGGCAGTCGGGTAGCCTAGTGGTTAAAGTGTTCGCTCGTCACGCCGAAGACCCAGGTTTGATTCCCGACATGGGTACAATGTGTGAAGCCCATTTCTGGTGTCCCCCGCCGTGATATTGCTGGAATATTGCTAAAAGCGGCATAAAACCTCACTCACTCACTCACTCACTGAGTCATATCGCGGTCAAGTATTCATCACAAGCTACTGCTCAGTGTTAGGCTAAACAAAATAATAGTCTTGGTTCTTAGGCACAGCCCACATCATCGTAAAGTTTGCAGCACGTTTTGTTTTAGTTTTCATTTTTTTTTAAAAAGAAAAAAGTCTTATACCAGATATTTCCATTCTGTGACAATAAATATAGTTGTTGAAGTGAGGATGGAGTAAGTAATTAGTGAAGAGGGTGCCCCCTCAGCCTGGCCTAATCATGCTAATCCAGATTTAATCCTCTGTTGATTATCAATACCACAAACTGCAGCTGCCAACATCTGTGTATTCGCATGATAAGAAATAATTTACATTAATATTCTGACACAAGACTCAGACCTGCCCGTCCGTCACTGGAAGTGTTGATGAGACGGTAGTGAGGGATGACCTGGGGTAATAGCCCCACCACCCCCCCGAGATAGAAGAGGCATGTTTTGACCTCTCTGTTATATGCAATGAAGTGCAATGACTTGTGGCAGGAAAAGTATTCTAATATGAATATCCAAATTTATGTAATTTTCTTTGAACATTGTTTAAAGACTTAGTCAAGTCTGCTGAGATTGCCATTTGGCTTAGTTTAGTTTCTCGTTAATGTGCCTGTTGCCTCAGGTTTTTTGGTTTGGGTATTTTTACATCACAAACAATGCATTCTCTCTGGAAGTCTTCCTTCTGTAATTGTGTGACATTGTCATGTGATTCTCTGTAAATACTTAACTCTTTTCACCACAACATCCTGCTTCACTTCCTTGTGTACATTTGATTTGGGTTTTACCAACATCCCATAACAGTCCAGTCGACACTACACTGGACCAGGACATTTCTGATAACAGGTCAAATTTGTGTTAAAACTCACCAGAAGGGTGTTATTGGTCATAATATAAACATCCCAAAGAAAATCAAGGTTGGGAAAATAGATTTCTGGGGCATGGTTCTGGGGGTGGGGTCTGTTGTCTTTTCGCACCAATTTCAGCAGGAATGCATTTGTCATGGCTACATAGATCATGTGAAAGTATTGTTTGGGGTCTTCATTCTAGTCTGTATTGTCATTTCTTAGGAATCCTACTTTGATCAAATACAAAATATTTTTCTTATTTATCATATAGTCAATGTTGGCCATCTTGAATTCAATGATGATAAAAAATGTCTGTTGATATCTATATCCGATAACATCTTTTGCATTTGATCTTAAAATGAGCATTGCTTACTGTGAGTTTTCTGTCCGTCCATTGTCTTTTAACTGTCAACGTCTTCTCCATTCAGGATGGATGTGACTGAGAGTTGTTTCTGGCTCTAGGTAGAAAAAATCAAATAACAAAAAAATCTTTAAGAATCGTTAAGGAAACCACTAGGTCTGGGAACAAACATTTTTTTATGAGAAGCAATAGCATTAAGCTTTGTACCATAAAAATATTTTGTTTCATATTAGTAAAAGTTCAGAGCCAAGACGGCAGAAGCTGCTATGAGTAATGTCTAAATATCTTGTTGACTTCAGTTAGATTATCAGTTTGTTATATTGAAGGTACAGTACATTGACTGTCATGCCCGATTCACTTCTCCAACCAAAACAAAAGAGCTCCACAGCCCAAGCCCTGCACAGAATAACTAGCTTCAGTCATCGTTTTTATTACAGGCAAACTGAAGAGAAAGCTTTTGTGATTTCTTTATGGATGAGTAAGAAAACACTAATTGCCAGCTTGATTAGGTTAGAAGCCAGTGTTTATCAAAGCGTAGCTTACAATATAAACATGCCCCGGCCATATGATGACAATCACTCTCCTACCCAGAGTTCCTTGCTGCCAGCCTAGTACCTCTGTCCATCTTTCACAGTGTTTTTCATCTGTTTCTATGTGGACAAGTCTATACATTTCGATAAACATGTGTCCTGAAATGTATATCTTTCATTGAGAAAATATTGTAAAAGGTAAAAAGATATGTTTTAGTCTGTTTTCAGTCGTACAAATGGGTATCTCTCATACCCTCACGTCTAGTCGCACGTTTAGAGGAAGCCAGAATCTGGAATGTAAACATTAAACTTGTTTCCGTCCGGTTGCGCACGCACCTCCCTATGACATGCCACAAAATCTCTCAGCGCGCCTCTGCGCTGGTCGCTCGAGAAAGTCTTTCGCGGTAGACTGCTAGTTTGTATTCTACTAGTACTTATCGCTTATCTACAGTTGTTCTAATAAAGTCATAATATGTCTTACCTGTAGACTCCTGGAATGTAATCCTTGGTAATCCATTGTTTGTGTTCAACGCGTGTTTCGCTGTTTGACAGTGATTCTACACGTGGCAATATGTCGGGCATTTGTGCCTCGTGTCAACGAAAACTGTCTAAAGTAGACCCTCACAAGTATTGTCCTTCCTGCATCATTAAGGACGGGTTTTCAACGTATTCGTGGAATGAACGTTGTAAAAAATGTGAGAACTTGTCTTCAATAAACTTTAACTTGTATCTTCGTGCGTTGGCGAAGCGGGCCGCTGACCAGCGCTACAAGCGGAGATGGTCATCGGTTGGATCCTTGGACTCTGCACCCTCCGCATCAGGCCCTGGGGGTGGCGAGTCGACCACACCTAAGAAATAAGTTGAAAAAGACCCGCCTCAGTCAACTTCAGGTTTCGACAAGACACGTGACCATTCGCCTGCTGATGATACTACCCGCACGACTGGTCTTCGTCATTCGGTTGATCGAGAGCGTCACTCAGCCTCCCCCGTTACGACGGGACCGGGTGGTGACGAGGACCATGAGGGGACTACGGTCCCCAGTCGGTCCGCATCTCGTTCTACAAACGACGATAGGGACGTCGTGCGGGACGACAGTGGACACAGAAGTCGTTCCCGTTCAAGTCGGGACGACAGGATGAGTGCCTCGTCGAGAGACAGTACACGACACGAGGGCGTTCATCGTCATCGTGGTCATCGAATGTACGATTCGGACGATAACTACGATGGGGATCGTAGTACTTCTACAGTTAGAGATCGTAGCCCTCGTCCCCACGGGGACGTGCGACGTTCTCGCAGGGAGAGTTTGGGGGTTCAGCGTCGTAGTGAAGATAGTGACAGAACGACGACCTCGTCTCACTTTCATATCGACCCGGCTTTGATAGCCCAGATCACGGCGGCGGTCCTCGCCTCGACGGCGTCGACCAAGAAGGATACGACTACGTCAGGGGTCCATGGCCCGTCAACTAGTACAGCAGCTCCTTCATCTACGCCTCCACACTCGACGTCGACGATGGGTTGTGACCACAGCCAGCAAAGAACGATGACAACCACGACGCGTGCGGGCTTTAAGGTCGGAGATACACCGCAGTCTCTTCAGTTTTCTCCTCCCGATGTCTTCAGAGCCATGGCTCACGATATGGACCAGAACTTTGGCTCTGCTCTGCCTGGGCAGAGCTTCTGCAAGCCGCCTGGTAGATCTCGTTACCCGATCTATGGCATGCCGTTTTCGTCACCCATGACTAGGGATTTGGACTGGGGGCTACTCTTCAAGAGACCAGCACCCTCCACATTTGGAATCCATGGGCACTGCTGTTCGTCACCAGCTGCAAACGCTTGCTATGCTGTCGACAGCGATCAAGGCCCTCTCAGTGTACTTGAGGTGAAAGAACCCCAGGACGAGGACGACAGGACGGTGCCATCGGTCCTCACCTGTATGCAACGGTGGATCTAGGACGTCCTCGCCCAGTCCCGATATGTATCGGGCCAGATTACTACGGCGCGTCGCCATGGTTACATCGACTGCACTGACCTACCTGATCGTCATGGCAGGTCTCTCTTACGGGCCCCGTGGACATCGCAACAGTTGTTCGACGGTCGTACCAACGACGTTCTGGACAAGTACTCCAGGGAAGCCGAGCGTGACATCATCATTTCGGCTTCACCCAACCTGTCCAGACGGCCACCGGTTTCGAACGCCCCACGACGACGTTACCGAAACGAGAATGTGCAACGGGCCTTCCGTAGGGAGGTTCGCAAGGGAGGTT